GCTGCGTGCGGTGTGTGGTGCTGTGTGTGGTGCTGCATGAGGTGTGTGGTGCATGCGGTGTGCAGTGCGGTGTGCGGTGCAGCATGCGGTGCTGCGTGTGGTGTGTGGTGCTGCATGAGGTGTGTGGTGCATGCGGTGTGCAGTGCGGTGTGCGGTGCAGCGTGTGGTGCACGCTGTGGGGCGCCCACCTGGGCAGCGGGACTCCAGAACGCGGGCCCGGCTCCCTGCTCAGCCGTGCAGCTCGCTTGGGGCCAGAGCTTGATTTATCAGCTCAGCTCCGCATCTTAAGTGGAAACACAAGCCGTGTGGGCCGCAGGGCCTGACTCAGAAAACAAAGGCTCGGGCCGGCGGCGGGGGTGCTGAGCAGCTGGGTGCACGATTTCCTTCAGCGGCCATCGGAGGGCACAGGTGACATAAATCTCCAATAATCACCTGTGTGTTCCGCCAGCTGAGTAGGTGTGTTTTACGCCCCCGGCCCGGCTTGGCGCCCCGCTCAGACTCTGTTTAAGTGCTCAGCGGGAAGCTTGGCTCTGGGCGTCACCTGCGTCTTGTCTGATGATTGTGCCTTTGGACACATGTGTTCGCGTTGTCTCTTTCTAGGAAACCAGAATTCGAGCCAAAATGGTGCACAACTGAGCGAGAACAAGACTCATCCGTGCCTTGGTCCCAGGGAGTGTGCTGCGGGGTCCCGACCCCCCCCCCCCCGCTTGGGGGGCCCTACAGAAGTTTTGGTTCACTCTTACAAGGACAAGTTTCTTAACGGTCCTGGACAATCCATACAGGCTGAGGGTCACCCAGTGGGTTCTCGGTACGCCCTGTGTGACGCTCGTGGCACACTAGACACACGTGGAGAGAGGGTTTGATCTGGAGGCTTCCTGTCCACAGCAAGAGAGCCGCGTCTGCCTGTGAGTCTTGTCTAGGAGAGTCATCTGCAGGGCACGCTCACCAGGCCCCCCAGGGCCCAGAGCTGTGGCGCACCTGGCGTTGTGCCCCTGCTGCCCGTGTCAGGTCTTCAGGTGTGTGCAGGCTGGGAGGGGCCCTGGTAAAGCTGCAGGGGGACGGGACAGTGCGTGGCCGGGGCTGGCCGCACGTGGTGAGCGTGACCAGCTGCCTTCCTCCTGCACACTGGGCTCCTGTCCCACCTTGTGCGTGCACACTTCACACACCACGTCCCATGGCAGGGGTCAGCACCAGAGCCTAACCTGTCCGGGAGGGAACACGCACAGAATCACACACTTTGTTACATGTCGTGCCCTTGTAAAATGTCCTTTGTTTTGGAAATGAATTTCCCTTACTGCAAAGGTAAAACGGGGCACTGGGGCCCGGGGCTCTGACCGCAGCCACGTGCTGTAGTCCCGAGTGGAACCTGGAGCTCCGGTGAGCCTGGGCAGTCCCGCACCGCAGACGCCAGCCAGCCGGCCGGCCGGGACGAGGCCCACTCGAAACACACCTGCCCAGGCTCGCACAGAACCCAGGTGGTGGAAAGTTGAAAGCCAGAGAGAAATGATGGGGCGATGCAACGGTTCACCCCAACTCTACCTTCCTAGGAAAAGAGCGACAGGATCCCCTCAGCCCAGCTGGCAGCGTGGGCTGCGTGGCGCAAGGCTGGAGCCGGTGTACGTGTGCGTGCTGATGGTGCGTGGGGTGCGGGGGGGGGCGGGGAGGCGGGCTGACGGCAGGAGTAAAGACGTGATGTCTGTTTCCAGATTACTCCATCACATGTGTGTGTCTGGTGCATGTGCATGTATGTGTGGGTACACGTGTGTAAACAGCTGCACACTCAAACCTATGTAAAAGTGAATAGAGTGGAGGACACTTAGCCATTGACCAACCAAAAAGTAAAAAAATAAATCGCTCTTTTCTTGGAAATAGTGTGACAATGGGAAGTGAAGGGCGCGGCTGGCCAGGGCCGCACGCGGAAAACTAAAGCGGATCCCAGTCTGTCACCACACACAATGCTCATCACCCCAGCCACAAAGGGACGCACGCCAAAGCAGCCCGAGAGCGCAGCTCAGCCTCAGTAGGTCGGCCAACACCCAAACCTCCAATCCACCAGTGCTGGGGGGTGTGGGGGAGGGGCTCCAGGCGCTGCGGTGGGAATGTGAGCCAGGGCAGCCGCTCGAAGGAGGCTCGGAGGGTCCTCAGAAACTGAACGCAGAATGCCCTGTGACCCACCATACTCTTGGGCATCCACCCAGAACATCACAAGTCAGGATGCAATAAGACATCCGCACGGTTATGCTCACAGCTGCTCTATTCACCACAGCCGAGTTCTGGAAACGGCTCAGTCGCCCTCAATGGACAAGTGAAGAAGAAACAAATGTGGCACCCAGACACGATGGAAATGTGGAAATGGATGGATCTAGAACAAATCATGTTAAAGTGAGGTAAGCCAAGTTCAGAGAGACAAACAGCACCTGATTGCTCTTATACGCAGAAGCCAGATCTAAACTACACCAGGCCGCGGTGAAGTGCGCAGGCTCCAGGCACGCACACAGGAACAACGGAACCCAAAGGTGTACCGCCTCTCAGCATTCAAGTTCTGCGTACGGAAGCGAATTCCAAGGAACATGGGGTTTTTGTGGTTGGTGGTGGTTTGGCTTTTTTGTTTTGTCTTTTTTCTGTCTTTCAAGGAGGAGGAAGAAGGTGGAGCGGAGGAAGGGTGAACAGCTGCGGCCTGGTGTTCATAGGCTGATGTGGGAAATGAAGCGCGCAGCTGTGCCGGGGATGGAAGGGGGCCGTTGTCCAAAAGAGCAATGAACTGGCGACTCACTTACGAGACGGCGGCCCTCTGTGCAACCCCTTAATAACAATCAGGTAAGTAGAAAAGCCCGCCCCGGATCACCTTGGCTCCTGTGGGGGGCTGCCCTGTGTGTGGCTCCCTCCGGGTGTCTCAGGCGCAGGAGAAGGCGGCCGGCGGCTGCAGCGGGACGTCCTGCCCGCCACGCTGGTGCTGCACGGCTGTGCGGGCCGGGCCCAGGCGCAGCATGGTGTGTGTGTGTGTGTGTGTAGCTGGCCACGTGGAGAAGCGTGTGGCCTCCATGGGAAGCAGCCTCTGCCCGCCCAGCCCAGCCCCGCCGGGCATCCAGCCGGACTGGACGCTTGGTGGTCTGCGTCCCACTGCGCATGTGCCTCGAGTTTCTCCTCAGCCTCAGTTCTCAGGATTTGAACTCTCCCCGGGTTGGTGTGCGCTCCTCCTCTGGCTCTGACCTCCACAGGCCCAGAAAACTCCTCGTGCCCCAGCAGCCACGTCCTCCGGTCCACAGAGACTCAGGCCCACGGGGAGGCGGCCTCGCTCTCCTCCCCACTGAGTGAAGGGTGTGAAGGCATGAAGTTCAGATGTGAGTCTGCTCCGCTCCACTCTGCGTGTCTGCTCCGCTCCACTCTGCAAAGGCCTCCACGTGTTCTGGGGGCCACTGCCCGCTGGGAGCAGATGCCAGGCTCCCGTTTTCCCAAGGGCGATGTTACGCGTGGCCGCCCGGGCACCAGTTTCCCACGTGTCTGGCTCCATTCTCCCGGCAGGCGTGAGCAGCACCGGAGGCGGCCTGGCCCCCTGCTTCCCCCCAACGTGCCGATCCGCCGGATCATCGTCGACAGCCCATGCAACCCAGACCCTAACGAACCCCTTTTCGGGATCAGGAGTGGTTGCAAGCATTCTGGGATAGGAACCGGAAATGGGCTAAGTATAACAAGCACCCTCTCCAGAAACTTCCAGCTCACAGCTGCGAGAGCAGGGCAGGACCAGCAGGCACCGTTTCTGAATTAGGGCTGAGTGTCAGGGTGTGTTCCGACTGCTCAGGATGACGGCTCTGTGGTGACAGTGCTGTGGTACAGGACGATCACCGTGGTGACAGCGCTGTGGTACAGGACGATCACCGTGGTGACAG